GGGGGGGGGGGGATCTGAACTCCCAGCAACTGAAAATCACTCCTGTCCTTGGGGATTTGCACTTTTACAGATTTTAAAGCTTGAAATTCAAGGAAGAAAGTGCCTACTTTAGAGTTTTAGGTTTCTAAAACTCTATCACATAAGTTTAAACTCTATCACAGATTCCGTCTGGCAACTACTGCCATAGGCCAATTAAGCCTAGGAGTCTGTTTAATCCTATTTCCTCCGAAAGTATATCTTAATCGTATTTTGTCTTATGTCTTTGAGAATTTAACTGGCAACTTCTCCAGCCTTCTCACTTTAAGACGAGTGCTTGAGCAAATGAGGTGCTGCCATTCTGTTTCCATAGCAATAAAAGAAACACCCGCAAACCATCTACCAAGGACATACCTCACAACTCAAGGCCCAAGTCAACCAAGTCTGAATGGAGGGGTGACTTTCTCCCCTGGTTTGACTTTCATTACAATACTGAAAGACTAAAACTATACTGTCTTTAGAAGGGACATTCATGCTCATGCCACTTCAGCCTTTGTAAAAAAAAGCCTGCGACTGGATGCACTGGCAGTCCATCTCTCTGTACTACACATACTCTGCATTTTCTTCTTTGGCATTTCAGCACTTGGAATGAGTCCTGAGTTCTGAAACCTCTAGATTTTACCTAAAATGAATTCTGATTTTGTGTTGATTAGAAACAGTTTCTCTATAACAATGTGGTGTCTTTAAGACTCTCGACTTGGGAAGAAACCATAGGGAAAAACAAATCTTTGGGCAGTCCAAGGTAAGCTCTTTGGAAAAGATATTTTATATAATAATCTTCTGATTATTAATACTAACCTGTGACCTTTCTGAAGGCTCACTGATGACCACCAGGTGGCACATTCAGTCCACCGAACCTCCGGTAAAACCATTAGGGAGAGATGCAGGAAATGAAAATGGGGAGAAGTCACACATGCATGTGTGCACACGCACATGCGCACACATATCCTTATATTCTTAGGGTCATACAATGCAATGTCAAGCCACTGAGAATACAGTAGATCTCTTTATGCCAATATGGAAATATTGACTAGATATACTCTTATGAAAAAAGAGTAAGGCAAAGCACAAAGTGTAAAGTACACTCAATTATGTAAAATTTTTAAATCTTTATATATATATATCACATTTCTGGAAGGATACTAAAAAAAATTAACAGTACTGAAAGCCAAGAGCTGATGTTTAGTTGGTATGCACAGTTATTGAAATACTGAAATACTGCCATACTGGTTGTATACATTGTCCAAGACCCTCAACTGCCACCTGGGTTGCCCCAACTCCTCCCCTGGGACCCCCAAACTTCCTCATGATTCAGCAACTAAGGGGTTAATTTAGCCTGGCATGGAGGAGCCCTGTAGCCATGTCTATTCTGATTGATCTGCAGTCTTGTCTTACTGGTTGTTAAATATTTTGAGTATCATCCCCATGGGTGTTTGAATGGAGAGGCCTTTACTTTTTGAGCAAAAGGATACACACCATGGTATTGTTTCTAATAGGAAACAAAATGTTCATCAAAACAAAACTGGTTAAAAATGTAATTGGGGGAAAATGCAAAACAAAATGAAAGGAAAAAATGGCAAAGAAAAAAATTTTTTAATTTTAAGAAGAAAAAAAAGGGAAAAACGTAAATGGGTACATTCATAACATAGAAATTGTCATGATAATATGGAAACGAATCAGACTTGCTGTAAAGATTTTAAGTATAATTTAAACTATAGATTTGCTTTAACTTTGCTTTAAAATAATATGGTGTTGGAGGAATGGGCTGGGTATAGATGAGATTAGTCACAAATTGCTGTTGAAGCTGCGTGATGGACGAATTCATTACTCTTTTCTCTACTTTTGAACATTTAAAAATTTCTCCAGAGTAATCAAGGTTAAAAATGACATATGTATAGTTACCAACACTCAAAGAATCTCATGACATTATTGAAAAAAAGATTATCTAGACTATAAGTAGAATTTGTTCCCATTTATGGACAATTATATAGATCTGTTTCTTTGAACTAGAGAGGACTCTAGAAAACACTAACCAAAATATTTTCAGTGGTCCTTTCTAGTTGTATTTTGGATAAATATTACTTCCTTCAGATTATAATTTTCTTTGCAATGAGCCTATTTCAATTTCACACACACAGAAAAAAACCTATCCCCCCACCCCCCAAAAAATTAGAAATAAAAGCGTCTGTAAACAAAATACCACTGGGGTTCATAATATTCCTAAACTCAGTTACCAATTTTTTGAGGACCTAATGTGTGCAAGGCAGTGTGCCCAGAGCGTTCCACATGCTCTCGTTTCACGTGCAGGGCAGCCCAGTGGGGACTGACCTCTCACGTCCCCATTTTCCAGATGAGGAAGCTGAGACTCAGGAAAGGAAATGTCCGTTTCTTGACGTCCCACAGCTGATAAGCAGAGGCGCCTCTGCGCAAAGTCAGGCCCATCTGACTCAAAAGCCCAAGGAAAATCCTAGTCAACAACGTTGCGGAGGAAAAAATAAAATCATAACCCTGACATTCTAGCCCAGTTTTCATTCTTTAATATATTCTTTTCTAACCTTTTCCCGTGTAGGTACATACTTGTATCCATTGCATTCATACCATCTTATATCTTTGTTCATGAGCATTTCTTTATGTTTCTACAGGCTTTCAAGTGGTCAATTAAAATCTAGTAAAACTCCATTGAGTAGTTGTACCATAATTAACTACGAATTTTGGTTTTCTAATCCCGTTTTTTCTTTCATCTCCCCGCCCTCCTTTGACGGGGGGAGTCACCCCGCGCGTCCTTTCACTAACCCTAACTCTGTGCAGCGGGAGCTTTCCCCGGACATCCTGCCTACGCCCGGTAGTGGGGAGGACGCCGGGTGAGGGTGGGGGTGGGACGCGACGGGACGTGCGCGCGCCTGCGCCGCCTG